GGTTGAGGCATAGACTTGAGAGTAGCCAATAGACAGTTGTTGATCATAGTCCCAAGTTCCCCGACGCTGGGCAGAGGCTCACACTTAAATAACAGGTCGCTGATTAGTATGGTCACTGTCAAATCGGAAAACTACTTCTCCGAAGATGATTAAGCAAATATAATCGAAACTAATGATTGTGTGAAACAATGAACCAAGACTTTCGACATTTATCCCTGTGGCACAGACTGCTGATTAATCTACCTTATTAATTTATCTGTCACAGACCTCTGGATGACCTTGATGGTCCGTGGCTCGTGAGTGGGCTTCTGACAGACAATCTATAACTCACAGATTGAACCCGAACGCACACAGAACACACATGACATTCTTTTATGTAAGTACATATATTACAACGTACAGTTTACTTTCCGCTGTATAGCCACCTGTTACCTGGAACACTGGCCGAGCGAGATTTACAATCACTGACTCTCTAGTCTGTTACCACAGGCAATCCCAGGTGCACAAACCACAGGCAATCCCAGGTGCACAAACCACAACTCTGCGGGGGACGTTCTTGTACCTTGTCACCTGAGTTCACCAAGATGTTAGAGGTTCTGTCGAGCGCAGGGTCAGCTTGACAAGGTTAGACATTAAATTGAAACAATTTTAATAGCTCTGACCATAGAGGTAAAGATGATATATCTGTCACGGCATTAAAATCCTGCTCTGGCGATCATACTACGCCTCGCTTTGGAAAATCGCCTCATCCACAGCTTAGGCGTTCTAGTCCAGGTGGTATCAATATCCAACATACCTTCATCTAAATAGTTCTACTCTTATCACATTTTCAATGTTAATTATTTTCTTTTATTTTCTTTTATTTCCTATAATTACTTTATTCTATTTCTTATCAGTATCATTTATGTTTAATTAACATTTGTATTTCTTTTATTCCCAGTTTATATTATATATCACCTCTGATGTGTCTCCACCTTGTAGTGGTAGAGGGGCTTGTGTGTCCCAATGACCCTAAGAGCTATGCTGACGGTAGTTTAGCTACTGGTAGGGTCTCCCGTGTCAGACAGGTCGAAGGAGAGGAACCAGACGAACAGAGACACGCCCTAAATTTCATGATGTCACAAATGAAAATATATCGATATAGTGCTAATCTCGTGGAGCCCTGCCAGGCAGAGATAGTGCCGGGCTCCTTACCTCGAAGGGGTCCACCCAACACTACTGGTGGGCACCTACCCCTGTGCTGTGAAGTCAAATATATCCACATTGACATCTGAAGGTATAAGAAGAATAAAATTCTGAGATTCTCTAAGCTGATAGTCCCTAGAGATGCAGAGCTCGTAAACCACGTAAAACTATAGTGGATGTGGAGGTCCACTGCAGTAAAAGTCTAACATGCAAAAGAAGCAAAGTACTCATTTTGTGGTGTAGGTAAATTAAATCCTAGGTCTGCAGGCTGCATACTGTTGGCTACAAAAGAGATAGCCCATTATGTATGAGATGTTCAATAGATGGAAGTGAGGTTAAACAGTCATGAGCAGGACGTGACGATTCCTTGGGTGAGCCCAGTACCAGAGCACCATGTATTAGCTCTGCATTTGTAGATGCCTCCTTGGATGACGGGGAATGCTCATGTTCTGCCCCTGCTATCTCTTGAGGGCTGATCAGCATTATGTGGCTTCTCTGGACCAGCCTGCTTGGGGCACCACCTGTGACCTGGGAAATAAAGATGACCACACAACAATGAGACTGCCATGTCCTAACCGGGAAGGCTAACCCGGTCAACAAATGCCCGCAGAAGTCGGATGTGTTGGCCGAAAGGTGCAAATATCGCAGCCATGCTGTAAACGGACACAACGCTATTACATCTTCGGATGAACGCAGAAGAAGAAGAAGATATTATATATTAACAATACTGCTGTTTATTATTTTTTTTTTTTTTTGTGACTAAATTTTTTAACCATCGTTGATTTTATTTTATTTCATTTATTCCACATCACATTTTTTTAAACGTTGCTCACGTCACCCCTTAGAGATCTACATACTCTCCTCTCGTCGTTGGTACGATTGTGTAGTTGAAGGCTGTTCGGTCGAAAAGTGACGTTGTGCTGTTTTGTTCACGTTTTTCTGCTTCCCCATTTTGTTGAGCTTTTTAGTCAAATTTCTCTGGAATTCCTTGTATAAGCTTGACTGCAGTCACCCCCCCCCCCCCCCCCCCCCCATATTTTCACCAAGGTTAGACATTAACTCACACAACATACATCTAACCGATTCAAACTGATCAAAGCTACCGGTTAACCCGCTCAGTAAGGTTATGGAACACGCATGCCAAGAACCTACTCGGAAAAGTGTTTACTCTTACTTGTAGTGCCACTGACCTTTGTGTCAAATCTGGGGTGTACCCTGAACACGGTACACCGTCTTTAAGGTCTTCTCCGCCACATGACTGTACCCACAGGGTTCTGACAGTAATATAAATATACTTTATGTTATAAAGCAGCTTAGCGATTCGCGGAGTGCTGTCTGGGTAGGCATACTCACGTTAATGGGAGGACAGTCTAGGAAGAAGAAAAAAAGGCATTCCGTTCACCTACAGTTGGTATGACGACGGAGGTAGCAGCTGTTGCATGGACACATGCATGGCTGGCGGAATAGAAAGCAACTCACGCATTGATAGTGACAGGCTCAATGAACATGCTTGAAAAGACCCAAACTGACAAACTCCGACTAGAATGTGTTGACAACATCCAGAAGTCTTGCCTGAAAAGAAAAGAAAAATCCTATATTGGCTGTAGACGTCGATGCGAAAGGAAATAAAAAGGCAGACAGATTGGCCGGATCTGCAGTAGTTGGTTGGTTTAGCATTTTGTATAAAATATGAAATGAATAGAAACAGGTATTGATTTATTATCGTCAGTCAGCCGTCTCCCCCCCCCCCCCGAGAAATTGCTCTATTAAAAAGCCCCAAATACTTTCATAGATGATGTATCTTCTGTGTCCTCTATCCACATCCGCTGTCGTCTGCCTCTGACTCGTTTTCCGGAAACTCTACATTCCATCACCGTTCTCTCCGTGCCATCGTTTTACATTGACAAAATATCTTAACTTTAGGGACTGGATGCTATTTATGAGCCAGTTTTCCTCGAGATTTCGATTATTTCGGATGTCAATGTGTATGTTTTTATGGTATTCTACATTTTTTTCTGAAACATTTCAAATTCGATTTTTTTAATGCACTGGTTAATGATCTACAATAAGCTGCCACGGGAAAGATGTAGGCCTATGCAGGATCTCACTTTTTTAATCAACGCGTTTGTAGATGTTGCACCATATATTCTGTTTAATTTCTGCATCGTTAAAGCAAGTTTTCTTCTGGCTTTTTTTTTTTTGGGGGGGTATCGGTTCGTCCTCATGTGGGATGCAATCTTGTGTTATTCTGAAGCCCCACCTCGGCTTTTGCCAGGGGCCCTACATATAGTCGGGCCTTAAATATGGGCTAACGGCTGAATGGGGTTTCTGGGACCTCTTCACGGGGGATCCTCATCCACATGTCGGCACTTTGTGTCACCATGTGTTTATCGCTTGTGTGATGTCCTGGTGTGGTGCAACTTACATTACCTACTTCTTTTGTGCAGTCGCAGATCTCGTTCACTACTGGGCCTAAATATTACAACTCTGTGACAATTTCGATATCTGTATAATCAATTCCAACGTGAGCATTGATTTAAACCCTTTCCCCTCCCCCCCTCCCCCACCCTTTCCTACCTCGTTCTCTGTGTCAGCGCACCTGTTAAACTTCTAAAGAGAAAGAAGAGGGGGAGGAGGAGGAGGAGGGGACCAGGAATGAAAGACAAAAGAGTTAGCAAAAGTACATCATCTGAGTGGCCTCCAAGTTTGTTATCCACGACACGCTGCAATTATCCCCTCTCCCTTTATCAAAGCTCTTTACTTCCCAGCTGAACAACCATGTTCAAAGAAAATTGTTACCTGCTACTAGTAACTGAATCAGCAATAACCTGTTTTCCCAACTGGGTTATAAGTGGGATATATAGTGTCCCCTCCCCCTCCCCCACTTCAGCAGACCGGCGACCGGATCGCCCACAGGATCGCCGGAAGACGACTTTGTCACCGCAACAACACTGCAGGAGTCTCTTCAGGGCAAGCAATGCTAAGCCATTTATGTGGCACAAATAACTAAATCACAATTATAACCTTAAGCTCCCCTTTTGAGGATGCTAGTTGAACGTAAGGATATTTTTTTCTACCAAAGCGCCTACCTGCCCACCTCCTATTTCATTAATGGCTATTTATGCTTATGAATTATTTTGGGTTAATATTGCATATTTCAAGGCAGCATTTTACAAAATGAATAATGCTGTATGCAATCTTTCTTTGTCAATTGAGACGAGAAAGAGGATTATTAAAAGCTATATAAATCCTATACTGATATACGGATGTGAATCGTGGATTCAGATAAATTAGTGGGAACTTATATGGAAGCTGTGGAGACGTAGTTTTATAGATGAATGAGAATACCCTGGACAGATAAAAAGAGTAATGAAGATGTCTTGAAAGAAACTGACTCACGAAGAGAACTGACTGCACTCACCAGAAAGAGGAAGTCTACATTCTTTGGTCGTGTGATGAGAAGGAGAAAACTGGAGTACCTCGTGAGACAGAGGGAGACCGAGAGAACAGATGCTAGAGTTTGACATCATGGCATAGAAGATCATCTGTGTTAGAGCTGATTAAAAGTACACGAGAAAGACAGAAGGTTGGGGATAGTCATAACTACCAAGGCGACACGGCATGGAATCTAAGAAGAAGAAGAATATTGCATAGCTCGTGTAACAATTGTAACAGACTGTATGTGTATAGATTATGAAGTTAAATGATCTTTAAATGTAACATTATTTTACACTTGCAAATGAGTTTAAGTAAAAATTGTTCCGTATTTTATAGTTAAGTTTTTAAAAGATACCTCAGATTGTTAAAAAGTGAACATGAAGCCGGCGACATGTCTTCTGCTATTTGGGTTGTATTTGCTTGGCCTTTCTCGGGCACAGCACGATGACAATGAAGATATGCTGCCTCGCATAGGTCTGATTGAATTTGTGCATGTGTTATCTAGAAATAGCCTGTTTTAAATAACTAAACTTTAATTGATTAATAACATATGCATTCGCGGTTCCAAATGGGGCTGGTCCGGGCGTAGGCGGTAGATGCCGCCTTCTTGGCCTAGTTTCCTAAAACTTCCTCACTTGCTCTTTTTTTTTTAAACCGCTTCGGGCATTGAGAGAGAAATAAGCTTCTTCTTCTTCCACGTCTAGCCTCCTCGACCATAGACGCACTGTGCTGTTGTAGCGATTCTATGATGTTATCTTTCCATATTGTACTCGGTCTACCCTCCCCCCCCCCCCACCCTCTTTGTTTTTTGCTCTACGTCCCCCTTCTCTTTTGTTGTCCTTTTGTGTGTGTGTAGTATGGCGTAGTCTGGTCAGACTGGCAAAGTGGTCAAGCCGTTTGCCTCTGGCATTCTGAAGGTTGTGGCTACACCTGCAGCCTTTCTTAGATATTTCATTTCCATGGTTACTAGTTGTTTTTCATTTTCATGGTTACTAGTTGTCTTTCATTTCCATGGTTACTAGTTGTCTTTCATTTCATGGTTGCTAATTGTCTCTACTGGTTTGTTATGAGTGATCATGTCTGGCATGGAAAATTCTGGTCAAAAGGGACAGTAGGCACTGGCACTGTTTTTAGTTATGGCAAATTTTTTGCTTCTGACAAGCATAAGCTGTTGCATTTTCCTTCATTTTAAGACTGAAAGGATATCATTTTGTCACCCAGCCGTTGCATTTTCCTTCATTTTAAGACTGAAAGGATATCATTTTGTCACTGGGTCCTAGGTTTAACTTTCCCCCTGTGTCCTAGGTTTAGGGTTAGGGCAAGGAGTATTGCAGTTATAAACAGTAGCCACAGAATCTGTCACAACAGTGGAAACTGCGACACTGTATTGTGATGGATTATGTGATGGAAATTGACACAGACGCAAACTCGCACGCATTGTTTAGTGCAACTGCTGGTGGCCACAGTCACAAACTGATTGCATTTCCCTGTGTCCAGACTATTTTCTGTTAGCACTTTATAATGGCTGCCTTATTCGCTAGGAATGCATGTGTATGCTAGTAGATATGCTGAGACTGCAGTCTGTGTCAGTTTTCCACAAAGACAGTGATGGACATTCTGTGCATTTTTCCTTGGCACAGGAACAGGAGACTATGGGGGTGACCCATTTGATATGAAGCTGAATAAGATTACCATGTCTGGCACTGGCAGCATAGGGAACTTGTCTATCAGTGTAAATTAGAAGGGGGGGGGGGGAGAGACACACACACACACGTTTCTAGAAGACTCAACTTTTACTGAAGAAATAGAACTCAGTGTCCCTGTCTGTATTCTGGGGCCTCATTGTGGGAGGGGACAAGAATAGAACCACTGCCCCCCCCCCACCCCCACCTCAGCAAGTATGATGTAAAAGTGGACTTATTAGGGGAGTATGCTATGAAGTTTGAGTGCATCTGCCTGAAAAGCAAGGAACCAACAGTCTTTATGCAAATAAGTCAGATCTGTAAAACAGGTGTGCATGCAAACTCAGGTTCTGAAACAAAGCCAAATTCCAGAAGAATGAATATGTTTAGAATGAGATGTTTCTTTGCACTGATTGGGATACTACTGGTACTTCTAGTACCAGCTGAAAAAACATAAGTCCAAATGAGAAGTAGAATTACCAGTTGAATACACAAGTACTGTGTTTTCCCAATAAGACTTGACCCGAAAATAAGTCTTAGCAAGCTTTCTTCCTGATTGTCATAGTATAAGCGCTGAAAGAGAAAGAGAGTTAGAGCCCTTCTAACAATTTAAGTCTAGTTAAGATCATCAGTCAGACAGATATTTTGATCGTCCATTGAAACATGTAAATGCCTTATTGAAATATAAAGATATTCAAGAAAGAGATGATGTGTATATTACAATCAATGTATTTTGTACTTGAGTAAATGTTTTTACTAAAAACAAAAATAATACATCTCACCAAAAATAACCTTCTTTTCAGGGCAAAAATAATCTTATGGTCTTATCTTACTGGTCTTATTTTCGAGAAACTGAATTGCAGTCAATCGCTGGTGATACAACTGCCAAATAAGACAAAATCTGAAAAGTTTTAACAGTTCTGTTCATCTGTCTTTGTCTACATTTTCTGCCTAATTATATATTGATTCCACCACTACTACTTTCTTCGCTATCAACCTACTGGTTCATATTCTTGTTCAATGTAAATGTCTGTCCCCTACCTTTACTTACATTGTTACCTAAATATGTGTATGATTTCGACCACTACTTGAAGTGTGGTTTTATCAGGGAAGATTGATTTATAATTTACTTGATTTATCATTTACTTGATTTATTTGCAGTCTTTCCACTTCCCATCAAATGTGTCACTTGTAAATAAGTTTTACAGTTTAGCTCTTTCAATTGGTTTGTGCCTTCTGGGTTGCTACCATATCGCCTGAAAATTACACAATATCAGTCTGGACGGGAAGATCAACAAGGCAAATCTCAGACCCCCTGTTCAACCTCAAAGATCCCTGTGTGGGTTCCAGGGCCCTATTATGAGGGGGGGGGGGGGGGAGGGGGGGGGGAAGAAAAAGACCCACTTCCCACCCAAAAGCATGGCATAAGATTAGACTAATTGGGGAGCTTTCTTAAAATTGAATGCATCTGCCTGATATGCATTAAACCAATAGTCTGCATACAATGAGTCAAATCTGAAAAATCGATACGCACGCAACACTCAGGTTCTGGAACGCGACTGCAGTCCAGAAGTAGACGAACAACCACAACTTCCACCAGAGTTTACAGTTGGTGAACACGAAGAAGAAGAGGAACCTCAAAGAAGTTATAATTAGGGCGCTCATAAAGGCTGCAACAGCCAGGTGTAACATGCAGTCCTGTGTGGGTAAGGACTGAATTGGCTGTAGTTCTCCTCATGGTGCTCAGTAAATGTTTATTGTCTACACACCTAATTTCTGAAGCCATTTTATTTGTTTCCATTAAGAATGTTTTATTCATGTTTCTGTCCATCTATTATATATATATATTTTTTTTAAACTTTCTCAAAAATTGCTTTTCTGCTGTCATTTAATTTTTTTTGATTTGCCTACTTTTTGTCCATATTGTACGTGCATATAGGAATTCTTCTTCTTCTTCTTTGCATTCTGTTTCATATGCTCAGATCAGACCATCAGGGTGGTTGCCTCTATGAACTCGCATGTCAGTAGCAGGTCCTTCATGGTTCCCCATAGTTTGCTTTGTACACTTTGCTCTTGGGGCCAGGTGTCTTTTTGAAGTTGTAGGTTAGAGCAGGGCAGGTCTGCAGAATGTGCTCAGATGCTTGTTGTCCTGTTTGACATGCACACTGTGGGGACTGTAGAATCTTTTTTTTATACATGTGGTAGTTGAGCCTGCAGTGTCCTGTTCTTAAATGGAAAATGTTTGTATCTTGCTCTCTGTTAAGTCTGCTGATGGGGTCTTGTGGATGTTTACTGTTTGTTCTCTCCACAATTCCTTGTTTTTTCTCTTGATAAGTGTTCTAATTTCTGGTAAAGACAATGGATGGGTGCGTTGTTTCTCCTTTGTTTTATTTTTTGCAAGTCTGTCTGCTTACTTATTTCCTGGTGTGCCGCAGTGAGCCGGGAATAAATATAGTCTCAGAAAATACTGAACAGACTTTTTCTTTCTGCACATGATGAAGTATTTTGTCTTTGGGGTGTTTTGGGGTGTATCTTTTAATTTTGATTGTATTTTCTCAGCTGTGATTGGTGCAGGCCTGGGTGGAACATCAGCTGCATTTCATCTCCGTCAACTATTTGGACCTAACCTCCAGATTGATATCTTTGAAGCAAACAAAGTTGGTGGTCGCACTGCTCTGATTGACATCGGTGGGAAAGAGTATGAAGCCGGAGGCAGTATCATTCACAAAAAGAATAAATATATGGTTGATTTTGCTAGTAGATTCAACAAAAGTGAGTCAAACACGTTCATCAAAGTACTGAGAATGTGTTTCTTCTTTTTTAGTGAAATGATTAATTGTAGATTTCACCACATAGCTTCCAAGGTTATGTGGGGGTTTTTTTTTGCGGGGGGGGGGGGGGGGGGGGGGGGGGGGGGGGGGGGGGGGGGGGGGGGGGGGGGGGGGGGGGGGGGGGGGGGGGGGGGGTTGGGTCAAACTTACTGCCCCTAGGCAAGTATGTTATAAAATCAAAGCAATGTTTCCCCGTGGTAAATTTGAACAAAGAAGACACAAACAATAGATTGCACAGTTTATTGCCTGGCATATTTCGCTGTATCTCGTCAGGTGCATACTACAGTAGCAGTTACTTAAATGAAGCCATCTTCTAAAATCTGAACATGTGGTAACTAAGGACAACGCATTTCAAATCCTTCCTATGTCAACCAGTGGCAAAACGCTAAGATTTCTTGAAGCTTCCGCGATTCATCACATGCGCCTGGAACTCTGTATACAGAAAGAGAATGGTTCGGTCTTTACGGCTGCCCTGGTAAAAACAGGCAGTCATGTTTGGTCATTGTTGAAATTGTACTTCACTTATAAAGGATTCACTTATTTGCTTCATTAATGTAATTGTTACTGTAGTATGCACTTGACGAGATACAGCGAAATATGCCAGGCAATAAATTGTGCAATCTTTTGTTTGTGTCATCTTTGTTTAAATATATTATAAAAGAGGACTGATATAGAGATGGCAGAATTCGGATGCGTTCAACTTTTTTAGTTTCTCTTCCTGGGCTCCATTTTTGACGGGAGGAATTGACCCATTAAATGGTGAAGGGAGTCTTTCCCCACCTTTAGGCGTATTGGGCATGAAGAGTTAGTTGAATATCCTTTACAGACGTTGCAGAATCAACCCCCAACAGCCCCTGGATGTTGTGTGTTTTTTCTGGGCAAATGTATGTCCAGTAGTTTGCCATTGCTTTCTGGACAGGTCGGTTTTCTTGATACAACTGTCGAAACCAACGCAAGGCGCATGGCCTTCAGCTGGGATCAAACCCGGAATCCGGGCATTTCGAAGCGTTCGCATCAACTTAGCCACAGAGCCGACGGGCATGAAGAACTAGACTTATATTTTATAGACCAAACGGTACTGGGTGAGTGACGTGGTCGACATCGTGCCGACCACCTGCACTTCCCAGGACTACCTGCTACTTATTTGAGAGCTGGGTCTGCCTGGGAGCCAAGGTTGTTTTTGAAAACAGCCCGGCTCTGTTTGGAATTAAACCCACGACTTTCAGCATCTGCAGGTAAGCATCTAGCAGCTACACGATGAACTTACTGCATCTTATCAGTGGTGTGAGGAAGGATGCAGATATCACAGCCTAGCTGTAAACCACACTACTATATGCCAACTGCCCTTTTACAGGTAAATACAAAAAAGGAAGAGAAAAAAATCTGATGTCAAATCAGTACTGCTGTCTGGAGCAGAAACAAGAACAACAACTAGAACAGTTACTTCCCCGTGTGAGTTCCTGGGCCCTGTTATAGGGAAAACAAGAATAGACCCACTGCCTACCCAAAAGCTTGTGGTAAAAGTCAACTAATTTAGGGTTTCCTTTAAAGTTGGAGTGCATCTGCCTGAGAGGCAAGGAATCAACAGTCTGCATACAAATGAGTCAGATCTGTAAAACGGATGCACACACATCACTCAGTTTTTGGAACATGACTGCAGTCCAGAAGTGGACGAACAACCAGAACTTTCAGCCAGAGTTAACAGCTGGTGAACACAAAGAAGAAGAACAAGAACAAGAAGAACAGTTACTAATAAACTATATACATTCATCAACAGGTGGCTTTGCAGAATAGAGAGAATTAAAGGCTATGATAGAGTCACTAATGTTGAGCTTTCGGAGAGAAATAAGCGAGTTCAAGTGGACCAAGAGGTGAAGAAAAGATGCTGGCATCGGATAGGATGCAGGTTGAGAAAGCCTGCAAACATTATAACTAGAAGGGCTTGACACTGAAAGCCAACAGGGAATAGAAATGAGGGCAGACCAAAAAACACATAGAGAATGGGGCTAGAGAGTAAAGTTAAAAAAGATTGGGAGTGCATGTGATGGTAAGGATAGATTGACTCTGCATGAGTTCGAGGGCCTATGCTCCCTTTCAGGGTTGAGAGCAGAAGAAACAGAAGTTAATTTTGTCATTTTCTGGTTTATTTAATATTCCACTGTGCAGTTTATCATATATTGTATGGTTCTTTAGACTGTTGTATAGTTCTTTGTTATTGAGTTGTTCTTTATGCTATTTTATAGTTCTTTGTTACTTAGTTGTTCTTTATGTTATTGTATAGTTCTTCACATTTATGTGATTAGTTCACCTTGTTACTGTATTCTTTGTTATCATTTTATAGTTCTTTATGCTATTGTATAGTTCATCATGCTGTTATGTAGTTCATTTCACTGATGTGATTAGTTCCCTTGTTATTGTATTCTTCCTTATGTCATTGTATAGTTCTTTATGTTGTTGTATAATATGTAATTTTGTAGTTCATCATGTGGTTGTATAATTCATCCTGTTTTTGTACATGTAATAAACAGCAACTTTTCTCGGAAGCAGACATATTTTAGCCGTATCAAGTGCCAGGGCTGATTGGAAAAAATAATAGCGGAAGGCATGGTACCGCAAGGAAGGGCAGGGGCCGACCACCACAGAGATGGGCACAGGATATAAGTGACTCTTTGGATATGAAAGTGCATGAGGTGGGAGAGCTGGTGAGAGACAGTATTTCTTCCAGGCATAATCTGTTGAGATGAGAGCGAAATTCCACAAAGGACCTGTTACATGATGATGATGTCTGTATGTGTGACATGTTATCATATAGTTTCATCATATAAGTGTACAGTCTGATCTGCTCCTACATTTTAATATATAGTTTGCTTCTTTATGTGTTGTTGCTTAGTCATTTTGTCGGCATCTGTGTCTTAGGCGAGGCGAACGCGCTTCATAATGCTGAGTTGCCGGGTTTGATCCAGCTGCAGGCAATTTGGCAGCAGACCATCTTACGTTGTTTTTCAACAGTGGTACTGAGAATTGAATGTTCAGAAAGCAGGCAAATAACTGAACATCACATCACAATAAAAAGGGAATACTAGCCCAGTGAGTCAACACTACACTCAAAGCTGTTTGGAACTAAAAGGAAATTTCTAAAAACAGTCAAGTTTGTTACAATAACTTGTCTGTCAGTGTAAATCAGAAAGCAAACACAAGAAGAAGTTGCAAGTCTTTGAATTCAGTGTATAGTGTTTTTCTTCCAGGTGCCAATGAGCCATCATCAGGAGATATGTTCTTCGGGCTGTGTGATGAATCCGGTATCTTTTTTCAGACGAGCAGATGGGAGGTAATCAGTTTGGCCAAACTATTTTGGCGATACGGTCTTGACCTATATTCTTCACAGCATTGGACCAGGAGTCTGGTAGGGGAAAAGTTTGAAAGGTTTGTGCTGATGAACTCTCTTTCTTTGTGCGGCCTTAAAAGGGCGGATGGTATGTGATGTTGTGGCTTACAGCTAGGCTGCAATACCTGCACCCAGTGGCCCAACATATCCAGTTTCAGTAGAGCCTTAATCAGACGCCTTTTACAATATGCTTAACAAGGAGGAGGAATGTTCCTTGTACAGCCCATTAAAACGGGAATACTGGCCAAATGAGTCAACACTGCACATAAAGTTATATAGAACTGAAAGGGAACTTCTAAACTTTGTCAAGTTTATCACAAGAACTTGACTTATCACTGTAAATCAGAAGGTAAACACATTGAAAAAAAAAAAAGAAGAAGGATGCTGAAAGGCATATGGCAATCTAGAAGACTCAGTTTTTATCTTTAAAAAAAATTAACACAGTCTCTGTGTCTGTATTCCGGGGCATCATTGTGGGAGGGGAAAAGAATAGAACCCCCCCCCCCCCCCCAACAAGTGTGATGTAAAAGGGGACTAATAAGGGAAGTATGCTTTGAAGTTGGAGTGCATCTGCTTGAGAAGCAAGAAACCAACACTCTGTATGCAAATAAGTCAGATCGGTAAAACAGGTGTGTGCAAAACTCAAGTTCTGAATCAAAGCCAAAATCTAGAAAGGGTAAACAACCAGAACTTTTCCTCTGGCGTTTATAGTCTGTGAACCCAAAGAAGGAGAGAACCATGGGGAGGGACAAAAAATTTTTGGGGATCCATTGGAGCTAATGTTTAGTGTGTTGAATGGCACCAGAGGGATTCATTGATTATACAACCAGAGCAAAAGTCAAAGGGTGATTAATTGATTATAAAACCAGAAAAAAGTCAAAGTGTGATTAATTGATTATACAAATACAGCAAAAGACAAAGAGTGATTAATTGATTATACAACCAGACAAAAGTCGAAGAATGTTTAATTGATTATACAACCAGACAAAAGTTAAAGGGTGATTAATTGATTATATATAGAAATAGAGCAAAAGACAAAGAGTGATTAATTGATTATACAACCAGAGCAAAAGTCAAAGAGTGATTAATTGATTATACAACCAGAGCAAAAGTCAAAGAGTGATTAATTAATATACAACCAGAGCAAAAGTCGAAGAGTGATTAATTGATTATACAACCAGCGGAAAAGTCAAAGAGTGATTAATTGATTATACAACCACAGCAAAGGTCGAAGATTGATTAATTGATTATACAACCAGAGCAAAAGTCGAAGAGTGATTAATTGATTATACAACCAGAGCAAAAGTCGAAAAGAGTGATTAATTGATTATACAACCAGAGCAAAAGTCAAAGAGTGATTAATTGATTATACAACCAGAGCAAAAGTCAAAGAGTGATTAATTGATTTCACAACCAGAGCAAAAGTCAAAGGGTGATTAATTGATTATACAAAGTGATTAATTAATTTCACGACCAGAGCAAAAGTCAAAGAGTGTGGAAATTCATTGTAGCGAGCCTTCCCTATAGAGATAGAGATAGCACCTGATAGAGATAGCACCTTGTTGATTGAATACTTTTACAACGGGTGCCTGGTAAAACAGGCAGTCATGTTTGACCGATGTTGAATTTGTACTTCAATTATAAAGGATTCACTTATCTGCTTCATTAATGTAATTGTTACTGTAGTATGCACCTGACGAGATACAGCGAAATATGCCAGGCAATAAATTGTGCAGTCTTTTGTTTGTGTCTTCTTTGTTCAAGTTTACAACAGGGAAACATTGCTTTGATTGACTACTTGTAGTAAGCAAATATTGAAGTCTATGAATGGTTTACAGTGTTTCCCATTTGATTGTCTGGGGTGTCTGTGTAAGATTTAAAGGGTCTATGGTTTACATAAGTGCACGCACACACAACCTGAAGTTTAGAATGCAATCAGTTTTTGTGATTCTCATCATCAACTCTCGTTATGCCTAGTGGCATTTTGTGATTCTAATATTTATAAATTATAAAAGAATTTTCAGTGTGACTTGTAAATTGTGTGGTCTGTGATTTACCTTCAAATTTAAGAGGGTTCCGCAAGTATTCTAATTGGGAACTACCGTCATAATCATTTTCAGCAGCTAGGAGCCAGTTACAACAAATGTTTAACAACCAAACCAACAACATGTAAGAACATGAATGTGACACAAAATGCACTATTTCATTCATCATAATTTTTGTCCACAGCCTTTTGTCGCATATACTGCCAAATATTTCTGGTACACACTTCTTCCTTGCTGGTTTTGGAGGGGGAGGGGGGTCGTAACTTTCAACCCTGCTAAGAACAGGTTCAGTCAATCAGTTAAAATTGTAGTCTGTTTTTATTTGTGCCAAGTTCAGTGTGGCTTAATTGGTTTGTTGTGCCAGGAGTTTTGGCTTATTTCCCTAGATGTGTGTGACCCTGAACATGTCTGGGTCTTCGATGTTGGTCCTTTGTTCCAGATGAGGGATCCATTTGTCTTAATTATTGTCCAACGTCTTAATATAATTGAAAAATATACAATTGTGGCTGTTCTACTGTTATCTCATGTGGGTGGTTTTCATCTGGGCGTATTGTGTACTGTTGTCTGTCCTTGAGATCTCAACCTCTTGTATGTCCTTGTTGGGAGTCTATACTCTTCTTTTGTGGAGTTCTTCTTATATGGATCGGTATTATTAAAGTTTTCTACTAATCCTCTGAGTGTCCCTTGCAGTAACCAATACTGTTTTGCACCCACTGATCTTGTTGCTTTACAATTTTGAATGTTGGTAATGCTGAAATTGATATCAGTCAATTTAAATTTGGATGTATGATAGGTCCAAAAATATAAATTCTCTTCATTTGTTATTTCAAGGATCTAAATCACCATGCCATATGCCAGGGCTATTCAGCTTAAGTTTAATCAAGGGACAAGATGTTTAAAATGGGGATAGTCACAGGTCAGAAATCCGAGATGCAGTATAGAAAGATCATGAATACAATGCACCTGGCAATGATCTTCGGGCCACTTGCTAGGCCTCCGCAGACTGGCAGCTGAATAGTCTTGCCATTTGCCAAACTGTCCTGCATCCTCTTAGTCTCCTCCTGGTCTTTCACAACCGATCAAAAATACCACTAGTCCCTATACGTACAATCGAAAACTGTTCGTATATTATCTGAGCACAGATTACGTGCTCCCATAGAAGACAAAAAGACAAATATTTTAGAAATAGCGGTTATTTTCCCTAGATTTATAACAACCACTATGGTTTATTGTAGTTAGAAATATAGACATTCCAGTGCTTGTACTGAATATTTTGTATGCTATTGATAATGTTTGTTACATGATGTGTGAATGAAATGATGTAAGGAGGGAGTTAGACCTCGAAGGGCAAATGTTAGACGAGCCTGCTTGCCCAATTCTTAACCCTTGAAAAATAAAGTTTGTTTGTTCAAATTTTCCCCACCAACTTCCTTGTTTTGAAAGTAATCATCTATTGACCTTCCATGATTCACTTCTGTAAATCTGTTGCTCCATCATTTTTCAGGATCTATGAATTCCAAGAACAAGGCATAGCTTTTACTACACTAAGAGATATGTTAGAGGCGATGAGTACAGATTTCCTCAATATGACAAGACACAGCCTGCAGGATGTCCTCTCTGATGCTGGACTGTCTCAGAGGTTTATCAGTGAGTTAGCAATGGCTGCCATGAGGGCAAACTATGGACAGACAACAGAGGCCCATGGCTTTGTGGGTAGGTTTCTTTTCACAGTAGCTAGTAACAGTTGTTTGCAGCTGTCAGTCTGTATGCTTCTTCTTCTTTTTCTTCTTCTTATTTGCATTTACCTGTTATAAACTCTTATGGGAAGTTCTGGTTGTTCATCCATTTCTCGATTTTAGTCTTGTTCCAGAACTTGGGTGTTGCATGCACATATGTTTTACAAATCTAGCTTATTTGTATGCAAACTGTTGGTTCCTTGCCTCTCAGGCAGATGCACTCCAACTACAAAGGAAGTCCCCAGCTACTCAACTCCTACGACATGCTTGTGGGGGAGGCAATGGGTCTGTTCTTGTTTTCCCCACACTGGAACCCTGGAACTCACACAGGGAAATCTGAATGCATGTGCTATGATCTGAAAGAATGATCTGATTCTGTACACACCAGCTCATCATACAGTCCTTTAGGTTTCCATAGTAAAAAAAAAGTAAAGATCCCTTTTCACGCCTTTCGGCGCATCGGGCATATGGGCAGAGCGTCCCATATTTTTACAGACCATCAGCACTCTTTGGGTAATGTGGTCAGCATTACGCCGGCTGTCTTTACTTTCCCAGGACAGCCCATCCTGGTACCCATTTTAAGCTGGGTCGACCTGCGACGTCCCATACCACGATAAAAATTGCAGGTCTCGCGGTATGCTGGCTTACGAGTCGGACTCGCAACGCCTTAGCCACGGACGCCGCTTTAGGTCTCCATGCATAGGCACAATAAATGTATCACCAACATAATCACAAGCTTAATTCCAGCTGTGTTTATTTTTGTTTTTCAGTAGGGAAGGAGGCACATCAAAATGGGTTTTCAAACAAATGATAGTCATTTAGCGTATTATGTAAATAAAAATTGTTTCGTGTTTATTTTTCCTATTTTTGGAAACTTTTGGGACATCCTCCTTTAAACATGTTCTCGTCTTTCTCTTTCTTACATACCAACCTTTTCTTCATATTCTCTTCTCTTCCTCTTCCTTCTCCTCCATTTTCTTCTGTCTCTCCCTCCTTCTCTTCATCTGCTTGTCCTCTATTTTTTCTTCATTCAGTTCCTCCGTCTTCTTGTGTCTCATCATTCATCTCTTTTTCTCTTCCTTTTCTTTGTCTTCATCTTCTTGTCTTTCTTTTTTGTCTTCCTCTATGACTTTTCCATCCTTTTTGTCCTATGTTTTCTCTTTCATCTGCCCTACTCTTTCTCCTTTTCTTCAAATATTAGTTGACTTCCACGAGTACCCTAGTGCTTTGAAAGCTACTCTTACCTTATTAATAAGAAATGTTTTATCTCTGTCTAATCCGTGATTACTTTTGTGTGCTCTAAAGAGGCATCTAGAAAAAAGGCAGCTGAACAACGAAGGCAGGCTAGAAAGACCTATGTAACAGGTCCTTTAACTACAGACACTATTTGCCGCTACCCTCATTATCCTGGATTCCTCCGGGCCCATATTTGTCTTATAAGTCACCTCTGGACTTGCAATCAATCCAACTTTGGTTTTATGATGGAACAACAAAAGAGTGGTCCTCGTCACTTGTGATTCGGTGAACAACAACGCTGTGAATAAAACTAACATGTACAGTCACACACAGTTCATCGATTGTCGATTGTTATACATCAACAGTGTATGACATCCTGCTGTGTTCCTGGTGATGGAAAGAGTAAATAGCAGATGTTATTACTGTGTAATTGTTCTTCCCCATTCATCTGAGGAGGTAAATGCATTGTGCTCGTTTACAATATGGTGGGATATTTTGGTTTAAATTATTAATTTTTTTAAATTGCAGGTGCTGTTTCTTTGGTGGGAGCCGAGCCAGGTCTGTGGTCAGTACGTAATGGTAACAAACAGATTGCAGAAGCATTGCTGAAAGAGTCACAGGCAAATCTGATTGAAGCAGAGGTCAGTTCTGTTGCCCTGCTGAACAGTAGCAAAGAAAATGAGAATGTTTCATATGAAGTCACATACAAACATACAAACTCTGATGGCAACATCACCGCCAGCTCCAAACAGTACGACCTAGTTATCATGGCAGCACCCATTTTTGGGTCCAAAACTAAAGTGTCATTTGTCAACTTCCCTCACGATGTGACGCCTTTCACTCAGGATTATCACACTACGGTGGCCATGTTTGTTCAAGGAACGATCAATGCAAGCTCATTTCAGGCCAAAACCAGAAGTGAACTCCCTCCAGACCTGTTAACAACCAGTGCAGGTGTGTTCTTCAATGCTGTTGGCCAGCAGTCTCCAGTGGTGCCTGATACAGCAGCAGGTAATGTACTGGATACAGAGAGTGCAGTCTGGAAGACTTTCTTCAATAAAGTTCCAACAGAGGAGCAGATAAGCCAGCTGTTTGACAGCCGAAAGGAATTAAAACTAGTGGAGTGGCTAGCCTACCCTGAATATAAACCTAAAATGGACCTGCCGCCATTTGTGTTGTATAATGGATTATATTATATTAATGCCATCGAGAGTGCGGCGTCTGCTATGGAGATGAGTGTTATTGGAGCCAGGAATGTGGCTCTACTTATAGCCAATCAGTGGCATGGACATGTGGACAAAATTAATGAGATTAATCTTCCAGACAGGCATAACAAGAAGTATGATTTATAATATTTTTTCCCCCTGTGTGGGTTCCGGGGCCCTATTATAGGGAAAACAAGAATAGGCCCACTGCCTACCCAAAAGTATGTCGTAAAAGTCGACTAATTGGGAGCTTCCTCCGAAGTCGGAGTGCATCTGCCTGAGAGACATGGAACCGACAGTCTGCACACAAATTAGTCAGATCTGTTAAAGGGATGCACACGCAACACTCAGGTTCAGGAACAAGACTGCAATCCAGAAGTGGATGAACAACCAGAACTTTCCACCAGAGTTTACAGCTGGTGAACGCAAAGAAGAAGAAGATAATTTTTTTTATTATTCTAGATTTTTTTTTTGTGTGTGCAGAATTTTGATCTCCTATCAGTTTCTTTTCTAGACTATTGGATTTTACAAGTTTCTTGGATATAACCAAAAAAAAAAATGCCATATCAGTTGGCAATCATAGACGGCAGACCATACGAGTGCCCTGGAAAATTGTCAAAATTTGATACGTTACTTTATAGTATGTATTTGAATTCTGGCATCTGGTGACATCATGACTATGTCACCTACTGAGTGTTGATTGGTCTTTAATAATATGGGTTTAGTCACGACCAGCTCCAACTGACGGGCCATGCTGCTGACGTCACTGGGTCAGGCTAACAATGCGTTAAAGCAGCGGCTCTCAAACTGAGGTGCTGTGAGCGTAAGCCCGGGGTGCCACGGCAGTAATCAAGAAAATTTTATTTGTCTTCCCTCCCTAATTTCAAAATAATTTATTTCTTGTGTGAGAACCGCTGCGGTAATGCATAGTTAGCCTGACCCGGTGACGTCAGCAGCACGGACCCTAAGCTGGAGCTGGTCATGGTTTACTACAGTAGTTCTCAACCTGTTAGTCGCGACCCCTTTGGTGGCGAAGGACCATTTCACAGGGGTCGTCTAAGACCATTGCAAAACACATATTCACTGAAGTTATGAAGTAGCAACGAAAATAATTTTGTGGTTGGGGGTCACCAACGGCATTAGGAAGCTGCTGTCGCACGGAAGAATGATCAGGTGCATGACAGCGTGCCTCTAGTGTGCACGGGCCAGCTCACAAGGGGCAGGCAAGGGTATATACTGGGGTTGAGAGAGCAGTGGACAGTTGAGAAATCGAACAGTTGAGTCGAGAACAATCGAGGGAAAGCACTCGCGAGAGACTGGTCTAGAGGACAGTCAAGAGTGCAGTTGAAGGAAGAGGAGTCTAGTTGGCAGAGTCAGGCCAAGAGAGCTAGACTACTTCAAGAGACACTGTTTTGGGTGACGACGCATGTTAAGCGGTAGGATCACTAGTGAAACAAGACAGCAGAGATGTCTGTGATAGTTGTGTGCTGAAAGGGACTCAGAGCCAGGAGTCCTGCCGATCATCTGTGTTCCTTCGACAAGGCTGATGTGCTGTGTGCACATGCTAGAGATCAAGTATTGTGATGTTTCCAGTCAGCCGATGTGATGGTGTCTGTTCCACATAGAGCAGCAGAGGTCAAGTTGATTAGTAGATATATCCTGTTCATCTGTACAGCGAGCTCTGAAGTAAGGGGCACTGTAGACCTAGAAACTGTAGCGGTCAGGTCATGTGTAGTGGCGGCTAGTTAAAGCTGTCTGTGAGAGCGTCACTATACCTGTAGGAGCGAGCAAAGGGTGGAACATTAATCTCATGTTAGCCAGGACCGATGTATGAATTACTTCACTTGCATTATTGTGTGTGAATTTATGAATACCCTCTGTGTGTGTGATAATAAAATGTGCATATACATGGCGGCCATAGGTGGTGGTGTTTTCCTGACTGTTGTGTGTGCAGGCGTGAACCATATCCTAAGGTACCTGGTAGTGTGCTGTATACACAGGAAACAAGTTAGCACACAACACTCATGACCTTCCGAGCATCTAGCAGGTGCACCACTGTGGTTCCCTTTAAAAATAAATACGCCTTCTAAATATACGGATTATGGAAATATAATGTCGTTTAATTTCTTTTTTTTTAACAAAATTATATAATCCTCTAAAAGACTCTAAGTTACTGCTTAAAATTGTGTGTGTGTGTGTGTGTGTGTGTGTGTGTGTGTGTGTGTGTGTGTGTGTGTGTGTGTGTGTGTGTGTGTGTGTGTGTGTGTGTGTGTGTGTGTGTGTGTGTGTGTGTGTGTGTGTGTGTGTGTGTGTGTGTGTGTGTGTGTGTGTGTGTGTGTGTGTGTGTGTGTGTGTGTGTGTGTGTGTGTGTGTGTGTGTGTGTGTGTGTGTGTGTGTGTGTGTGTGTGTGTGTGTGTGTGTGTGTGTGTGTGTGTGTGTGTGTGTGTGTGTGTGTGTGTGTGTGTGTGTGTGTGTGTGTGTGTGTGTGTGTGTGTGTGTGTGTGTGTGTGTGTGTGTGTGTGTGTGTGTGTGTGTGTGTTGTGTGTGTGTGTGTGTGTGTGTGTGTGTGTGTGTGTGTGTGTGTGTGTGTGTGTGTGTGTGTGTGTGTGTGTGTGTGTGTGTGTGTGTGTGTGTGTGTGTGTGTGTGTGTGTGTGTGTGTGTGTGTGTGTGTGTGTGTGTGTGTGTGTGTGTGTGTGTGTGTGTGTGTGTGTGTGTGTGTGTGTGTGTGTGTGTGTGTGTGTGTGTGTGTGTGTGTGTGTGTGTGTTTGTTTTTTTTTTTTTTTTTTTTTTTTTTTTTTTTTTTTTTTTTTTTTGAGATTTTTTGTTTGTTTGTTTTTTTTTTTTTTTTATCTCCAAATTAAAAATCATTGATTATGTCGTCAAAAGATATTTGGGTTAAACAACTAGGGCATTTTTTTAGATTGTGAGAACCTGTGATGTGGTCTGATTTTGGTGTGTACACATAAGAATTCCGATCACTGAATGAGTTTGTGCACAGAGCTGAGATTATTCTAGTGTAGCTGAACCACTGATAGACAGTTTTAACTTTGGTAAAGGTAGTCCTTGAATCCAGTCCTCCCTGTGTGGGTTCTGGGACCCCCATTATGGGGATAACAAGAACAGACCCACTGCCTCTCCATGTGGGTTCCAGGACTCCATTGTGGGGATAACAGGAATAGACCCACTGCCTCCCCAAATGAGTTCTGGGACCCCATTGTGGGGATAACTGGAATAGACCCACTGCCTTTCCATGTGGGGTCTGGGACCCCATTGTGGGGATAACTGGAATAGACCCATTGCCTTTCCATGTGAGTTGCGTGGCTCCATTGTTGGTGAATAAATATAGACCCACTGTGTCATAGGAGTCAGCATATAAGGCTTATAGGGTTAGACCTATATTTTATATACCAATCGGCACTCGGTGAGTGATGTGGTCATCATCATCATGCCAACTGCCTTTACTTCCCAGGGCTGTACTTGGTACCTACTTAAGGCTGGGTCGAATTTTGAGCCAAAGTCATTTTTGAAGAAAAAAAAACAGTCTGGCTCTGTCAGGACCAAAAACTATGACAGTAAAACTATAGAGTGTATGTTTAATGACTGTAGAACTTTTGAAATGAATATTTGTTCATCATAATTAAAATTTGTCTATAGCATCATGTTTCGAGTTGAATGTAACCGTTAGTTTAGAATATCACTGCTATTTACCAATGTTTTAGTAATTGATCTTAGCTTTTATGGTGTTAATGAAGAAAGAGTAGATTTGGCTAAGCATGTGTTTTTTAACGGTGGCAGGAATTTGAAAGTGATTGTTCAACAATTTATATAATTTTCTGATTCTCAAGCGCCTCAGCCTGATACTGTTAGAAATTTAACCAATAGAAACAGTTGTGAATAGAGCTGTAATGTGGAAAACAGCACCCAAAATAGGGCATACTATAGTAGTATATATTGTGTTAACTCCACAGACGGCAATTACAAAAATAGAAGCAGCAATATTTTTTATTAAAAATACACCTTATATAAACTAAAAAGTCCAACCTCTGAAGCCCCTCAGGGCAAAAGAAATACAGTGAGTCTCAAAAACCCAAGAAGGAAAAAAATTAATATACATGCCAATAATATCTCAGGGTCATGGGAAACGTTGCAGACAGCAGGTTAGGCTAGGAGGGTTTTGCTTGTTGGTTGAGGGCCTATTCTTCATTTGGAGATGTCCCCATGTAGGTTCAGGAGCCCCGTTTTTTTTTTTTTTTGGGGGGGGGGGTAGGGGGGGGGGGTGTATAGACCAATTGCCCCCAAACAAGCATGTCCTAAAAAGTTATTAAACAGGGATGTTTGCTTTTAAGTCAGAGTTCCTCACCGTGAAAGGTAAGAAACCAACAGTCTGTATACAGATATGCATGCAGAACTCACGTTCTGGTACAAGACGAAAGTTCAGAAGTGGACGAACAATAAGAACTTTCCGCCAGAGCTTACACCCGGTGAACACAGAGAAGAGGAAAAAGATCTGGAGATAAGACAAAAGAAAAAGAGAAGATACTTGTATTTGTTTCTTACGACTTTATTTTAACATTGTATGCTCCCACCCCACCCCCCCCCCTCTCTCTCTCTCTCTCTCTCTCTCTCTCTCTCTCTCTCTCTCTCTCTCTCTCTCTCTCTCTCTCTCTCTCTCTCTCTCTCTCTCTCTCTCTCTCTTTGACAACAGCTGAGCAAAATACATATGGGAAATAATTAGTGTGTTCTCTAGAATTTATCAGTTAGCAAAATTCCCTGTCACTGTCTTATTGACCACCATAACTAGGATGTTTCTCAGCGTGGCTTCCAGGGCCCTGTTGGGGAAGGACGGTGGACCCACTGACCCTAGTAAGCGTGTCGTAAAAGTCAATTAATTAGGACTTTGCTTACATCAGATATCTTTGGCTGAAAGACCTAGATCTCGCAGTCTGTTCTTAACCATAACACAACCTGCCAAATGCTCTTTTAGGGTAAACGAAAAACAAGAATTAGGATATATATATCCTTTGCGAAGACAGAAGTAATGGTGGTATCAAAGAAACAAATTATTCCTAAATGTGTAATAAAAGTCAATGGTGTTATTTTAAGACAAGTACAGAAATTTAAGTATCTGGGCACATAGATAACATCA